TTTTTAAAAGCTTTGAGGAACACCTGAATAATTTGGAAGACGTTTTCCAGAGGATAGCTGGCGCTGGTCTGAAGCTGAGTCCTAAAAGTGCTCACTGTTCAAGAAGCAGGTGAACTACTTGGGACAAAAGGTGACAACGGAGGGTGCCTGTACTTCGAAGGAAAAGATAGAAGCAGTAAAGGATTGGCCAAGACCTAGGAACCTGCACGAACTACGAAGTTTTCTTGGACTATGCACCTACTACCGCCGATTTGTTCCGAATTTCGCTAGCGTTGCTAATAGCCTCCACGAGCTCACTAGGAAAAATAGAGCCTTCGAGTGGAACAAGGAGCTAGGAGGTGGCTTTCCAAACTCTGAAGGAACGGCTATGTACTGCACCTATGCTAGCGTATCCCGTTCCAGGTGCAACGTTTATTTTGGATACGGATGCTAGTGGTTATGCCATAGGAGGCGTACTGTCGCAGGTAATTGATGGGCAGGAGAAGTAGTTGCCTACTATAGCCGGTCGATTGGAAAACCAGAGAGGAACTACTGCGTAACTCGGAGAGAACTACTAGCGTTGGTGGAGTGCGTCAAACATTTCCACAAGTACCTCTATGGGCAACGTTTCCGAGTTCGAACGGACCATGCAGCGCTGAAGTGGCTACTACAGTTTAAGAATCCAGAAGGACAGCTAGCTCGGTGGATTGAGAGACTGCAAAGTTATGACTTCGCTATTGAGCACCGCAAGGGAAGTGTCCACGGTAATGCTGATGCCATGTCCCGTCGACCATGTAGCCTGGAATGTAAACACTGCTCAAAAGCTGAGGGCAAAGAGGACATTATAGACGTCCGGCTAACGACAATAACACCAGCGGAAGAGTGGAAGGAAGAACAGCTACGAAAGTGTCAGCAAGAAGATCCAGATCTGGAGCTTTTGATGCATGGACTGAAGGTAGACAGAAGGCCAACTAAGGAGCAAATGGCAGCGGAAAGCCCAATCGCAAAGGCATACTGGGCACAATGGAACAGCTTAAAGGTGATATCTGGCTGTTTGCATAGGGTATGGGAAAGCGAAGATGGCCAGTGCTACCGCGACCTAATAGTTGTTCCAAGGGTAAGAATTCCGGATGTACTCAAGGAATTCCCCAATGGTCCTAGTGGAGGGCACTTGGGAATCACGAAAACCCTGGAAAAGATCAAGCAGAGGTTCTATTGGGTTGGTTGTCGGCAATCGGTCGCAGAGTGGATTGCTAACTCCGCAGAGTGTATTGCAGCTAAAGGGCCGAAATCCAGAAGTCATGGCCAGATGAAGCAGTATAACTCAGGTGCACCATTCGAGCGGATTGCCATGGATGCAGCCGGTCCATTTCCTATGAGCGCACAGGGAAACAAATATGTCCTTGTGGTTATGGACTACTTTAGCAAATGGCCGGAAGTATACCCGATTCCAAACCAGGAAGCTAAAACAGCAGCGGAGGTATTCACCTACAATTGGGTTGCGAGATACGGTGTACCTATAGAGCTGCACTCTGACCAGGGAAGAATTTTGAATCGGCGGTGTTCCAAGAGATGTGCCAGATACTGGGTATCCGGAAAACTCGAACAACGGCTCTTCATCCCCAATCAGATGGCATGGTGGAACGGTTCAACCGAACCCTGGAAGAGCATTTGCGGAAGGTCGTGGACAAAAATCAGAAAGATTGGGATGTCCGATACCCTTGTTCCTGATGGGATACCGGTCAGCAGTGCATGGCAACAACGGGTAAAACTCCTGCGAGGATAATCTTCGGCAGTGAGCTCCGTTTGCCTAGTGACTTGAAGTTTGGAGTAACTGGCGATGCAAGGAGGATTGGGAAAGAGACGTCCAACATCCTGGAAGAGGAGTTGAGAGAAATACATGCTCTTGTGAGACAGCGAACTCAAATTATGAGTGACAAGATGAAGGCCGTGAATCGTAACAGTATGTATCACGGGCAGCGAACAAAGGTGGCGCTGTCAGTGGTACCGCTACTTTGGTTTTGCCGATTTTGACGTTGTGGTAACTTGTAAATAAACCTTTGTTTACAAATCAGCGAAAGAGAAATATGAATTATTAGTGAAAAATCAGTTTAAATTGTGTCAATTTGCAATTTGTGAGTGATTTTTGAGTTGAGGACTGCGTAAAAACTAATACTATGAAGTGCTGTGTGTTAAATTGCGACAGCCGTCAAGATGCAGGAAGCCTAGATGCAAGTAGCGCTGGGACGAGTCGCTGCATTTTGTGTACATAGGGCACGGCAAAGTTGTTCCCGAAATGTTTCTCTATTATTATTTTAAAAGCATTTCCTCACAATGATTTTGTTTCTGCTCCATGCAGCCTCCATTAGCAAGTTAACTAATAAATCCCGAAGAGATGCTGCTGCAGTTTTCTGTAGCAGCCTCAATTGCAAAGCAATGGAGTGCACTAAAACGTTTGCTGAAGCAGCCTCAATTGCAAAGCAATGGAGTGCACTAAAATGTTCACTGTTCTCTAATAGATTAGGTGAAAAATGCAATATTTTTGCATTTAGCAAAATTAAAACACGTTTTTCGCTGTAAAGTAAACAGCTTTGGCAGTTTCAACTCGTTCTTCTTTTCGCTCTATTCTTTGTTTACTTGTGGTACACAAATGTCAACGCCCAGGACGGCGCAATCTTGTATTCTATCATTCTTGAGTATGTATGTTAAAATCAATTTAAACTTTTCGAAGACTAATTTATCAATAAATTCTTTGTAAATTTTTTTTGTAAAATATACTGTGGTAGCCGGAGTTGGACCGATTAGGGTTATTTTTCCAACGCGGTAAGGTATTCTGCGATTAAATCATGTGGCTGGCGGAACCCGAGTTTACATTTTCGGGTAAAATGCTAATATTTTTTGATGTGCCAGAAATTTTCAAATAGGTTCCCAGGGGCAGAGAGGAGAAGGGTGACTTGACTTAAAGTTTGGACTGTTCTCTTTCACACCCCCTTCAATATTGAACAGTAAAATATATTTTAATTTTGCTCAAAGAACCAACGATATCATCAAAACATACTAGAAGTGGATAATACTCACTTCTAGGAGTCATGAGGCGCATGCGTCCGAAAGTAAATTCCACTTTCAAGGTACTTGAAAGACATGCAGTTAAATGGACAAAGACAATTGGGATTCAGAAGCAAATGATCGTGCAAGAAATAGTTCCGATATTAGCAAGTCAATATTCCTATTAAGCCTCATCAAAAAATTCCTTGTCGTTGAAAGAATATAGGGAATGCCACATTATACCCGACATAAGGTACTATTCGATACGAACACAGATATACATATATGTTCACTAAAATTTTATTAATCTAAAAATAAAGTCTTCGGGAAGTGGTTATCATATTTAATTTAAAATTTAAACATTTTTAAGATAAGAGAAAAAATAAAAAATACATAATCCCAAATTTATGATATAAAATCCCCTCTACCAAAAAACTTAAATGGGGTAACGCCGCTTCGAATTTTTTGTTTACTGAGGGCCTGTGCCAATCGGTAACTTTTTTCTCCGTGGTGAGACGGGGTGGAAAAATTTGCTATGGTGTACAAATAAATTGAATTTTGCTGTGCCAAATGCAGAGTTAAATTGTGACAGTTGAAAAACCAAACAAACGCTCGTGCGAAAGCTTTATTTTTGTGTGTTGCTGAAATTCTTAAAATTTATATTTATTTTATAATTTGCAAGTAACGTACGCTTTTTTTATGCTGTTTCAGCTTTCATTTTCAGTTTCACTCCTTATTACCGCCAAGCAATATTATGTGTATACATGGTTATAAGCTGTCAAAATTTTACCTAGCCCCATGATCTAGGTAAACGTTCTTATTCACCACGAGAAATGTCAGATTTTTACTTTGATCCGTCAAAATTTTCTCTTTTCTATCATTTGGCACAGGCCCTGAAACTACCTTCTTTTTATTACCTCCCTTTTATTAGCTCGGGATGTAACTATGTAATATTGATGCGCCTAAAAGATGCCGCGATTTCTATTTTCAAGTTACATACCTGACGACAGTACGAATGGAAATTAAAATAGCGAGGTTTTTGTTTTTTTAACTATAATATATATATATATTATGGAATTGTCTGCATTCAACGTGTACACAACCAAAAAGTAGTATCGGAAAGTATGATTTTCAGAAATAAAAACTGTAGCTGCTCCTGCAATCCCTTTAGGAAATACTTTAGTTTGACAGACACTTGCCACCTCTACCAGCCACTTAAGATTTATGTTTATTTTAGTAAACTTTTAAAAAACCTACTTTAGGTTTATGTCGCTGATCGGGAGTTTTGACGGTTCCATATGGCAGAAATGTGACAAATAGCACACCGTGTGAATACCCTAATTATTTATTTATGTATTTAACAATAATATAGAAAGTGTACAATTTTCATATTGAGACCAATACATTTTTTTTAAACTAACTGGAAGCAATTCCTTTAAATGACAGGAATCTTTAAAAGACTCTTAAAACGCCAGGTTATCCATGTAAAATTTTGAAGAGAGCATAGAAATGTGGTCGAAGAAAAATCATAAGTTGATGATCTATGCAGAAATCCTCCAATGAACAAAGAACATAAATAACACAAACAACAAAAGAGGTACAATAATAACAAAAAAAACATATATACATATACATATGCATGAATATGTATATCTGCATACATATATCAAAGAAAATTTAGTATTTTACAATTTCAATTAATCAGTATTTAAATCTAGGTTTTGTTATGGAGAGATCAATATAAAATGAATACGAAATCAGGTTAAATTCATTTAGGGGAATTAGGCCAGGAAAATTGGCCCTTAGAATCATGATTATGGTACTTTCTAGTGGATAACCATTAGTTCCCCGTATAATAAACAAGGCTGAGCGAAAAAATTATCCTTCGACTATTTATCATGGCAGAAAAATCTGCTAGTCTTTGCAAACACAAATGGCATCATGACAAAAAGTTGTTTTTAATCTGGCAACTTTTGAAAATGCCACCGACGCTGGAAGTAAGCGAAGTTTGCGCATTAACTTCCATTACGCACTTCCAGGTATCAGTGGAAGTTTTTTTCCATATTGATTAGTTATGTCGCTTTTGTTGTTTACCCATTAATTTTCCTCTAATTGTGTTGAAAATAAAAAATTTAATTTGGAAAATATTACGTGAATACATTTAAAGACGGCGTAGCATTTGCGGCTTTCCGATACTTTCCAACCTGACGACGAACTGCACGATTGGTAAGACAGTCGTGAAGCAACCCCAGATGTCCACTGGAGTGGGAGGCGGAGGAAGCAGCATCACTACTGACCACAGCCGATTATATTTCCTCAATTCGCCATCAACACCTCTTTCCGCGCGCGATCCATTTTTCATCAAGCCGGAATACCTCAACTATGAAAATCCCATGCACCACCTCTACCCTAGCAACCGGGGTTTAATCGACTATAACAACTATACTAGTGCTGCAGTAGCAGCAGTCAGTAGTAGTAGCGGTAATACATCCACAAACGCCGTTGCAGCTGTCGCCGCCCTTAACTTAGAGAATACTTTCCAGCAACCTCAATCACAGCAATCGTCATCATCGTCGTCGCAGCAACAGCAGCAGACGACCACTTCATCGACGGGACAGCAGCAAACGCAGCAAGCCCAACCGCTTCCTTTGCAACTTCAACTCAGCACACCGCCATCAACTCGAGCGCAAAAAGCAGCTCGTCGGCGGAGCAACGAATCAGTGGAGGCACGCCAGCGACGACTAGCACGAAACGCTGCCCGGATGCGCGAAAAACGAGCCAAAGAAAGCGAAGAAGAATATCGGATTCGCCTTGCGAAAAATGCGGAAGCGAACCGTGTACGACGTCAGAATGAAAATGAAGTACAAAGAACCCTAAGACTGATGAAAAATGCCGCCAGACAGCGACTGCGGCGCGCTAGTGAAACTCCAGAGGAACGCAAAAAGCGCCTAGCAAAAGCTGCAGAACGAATGCGAACTGCGCGAGCCAATGCACCAAAGGTGTATAAGCCACCGCTGGAGGATCGCCTTAAGGGTTACTAAATAAATGAATACATTTACTCCAACAGGCAGCATCAGATCTATCTCACAGTGGACAAGAAGACGTATGGTATTGATATAAACAACCTTCATAATTGACGCAACAAATTTATAACAATAACCGTTAATATAAATAATTAGAGACAACAAATCTACTGGATAGTGGCAAAAACAAGACGCAAAAAGAAATGTTTTAGCATGAGGGATTTAGTCGCACACGCATTGGCATAAGTCCTGGCTACTTGGCTTTCACTGCGATCGTATCATGAGAGGGTGTAGGAGGCTAATTAAGGGCAACCCGAGTAAGCCCCTCATCCGAACATTTAATTAAGTTTATGGAATAAAGTATTTTTATAATGCATGCATTACATTAATATAAGATGAAATGTAATAATATAACATAATATAACAAATATATAGAAGCGTACATATGTAAATGTAGTCAGTCACACAAATGAGCAAACATGAGCAAACAAACACACCAATTAGTTCCACAATCACACAAACAAATGAACGCATTATTATAACTACAATGTAGCACCTATAGCGTTATATCTAAATCTCCCAACAGATAAATCTAAGTCCGCTAAAAAGCTCCTTAATTAATTAATATCCCGTTTATGCTGATGCTCTAGACATTTCCGTAAATCACACGTAGTTGTAATCCAACATAAAATTTAATTCTGTAACAAAATGTTTTATTACTATTAAAAAGGTAAAACATAGTCAAGTTAACTTCGTCTCGTTTCAATCTTATTTAAGTTCTAGTCAAAATTCAACTTATCTTCATTTTTTATGTAATTAAAGGTAAATTTTCCGTTATGAATATGTACACTATACTGGAATAAAGTTGCATCATGCACATTTTTAAAGTAAATGAGGCTTGGTTCTTTTTGAAGGAAATAAAGCCTCAAATTGCAGATTCTTGGCAAAGAATTCAATTCTGAAATTTACAAAAGGATTCAGGACAGCTCCATTTGACAAAATTATTTAATATAAAACTCACTGTCCTCCCGCTTTGTGTTATTTACCACTCCCATGCATAAATACATCTGTGACTGGTACTCTTAATATTATTTTTTTATTTGCGATTCTGGCATCATAATTCAGAGTTATATATGTATATCATTTAACTTTAGTCTCTAATATTTGTCGGATATAAGGTTGGAGAATATCGTTACATAATTCTAAAGTTAATTATTGGGGGCTATTACAGAATCCATCGTAATCCGATTTTTCATGAAATCTACGAAAATGCTATCATTGAATTCGAGTAGCTACGAACGCAGCGTATACTTTGAATATGTCATATTCATTTTCGTAGATTTCACGAAAAATCGTATGGATTTTGTGATAGCCCCCATTATCTACATCCATTCGCCTAAATACTTTGCTCAAGCTGCAAATTTTACAACAGGATAAAGGACAGGAGTCATATGTATGTGTATACATACATAGATGCGTACACACTTACATATGTGCATATGTATGCATTTATTGCAGTATAAATTAATTACTTATTTCTCAAATGTAGATACATAAGTACATACCTATCGTCACAATCAACGCAAACGGCCCTATTTTGGCAATTTGAAATTTTACAGGGCGAGCAAAAAACTTGTCAAATTTAAATACACGCATATGTATGTATGTATGCAAGATATTAAATCTCGTATTTTTTATATGGTTTTAAATTTTTATAATGAGGTGCATCGCAAACCTAGGGAATATTTAAAAACTCGCACTACCTAAAACATTCACATATCGCACTCCGTCTTCAAAAGAGTCACAACTCAAAATTTGGTATTTTTGAAATTATGTGCTAAAAATATACACAGAGCTTTTATTTACCTTTCAGCAAAAGCTGGAGCAAATTTTTGTTATAATTTGTTAAAAAAAAACCTAAGGTAAAGTCACCCTTCCCCATATGATTAGCATGTGCTACGTAATAGGTTTTCGCATTTTCTGACGAACGTATTATTTTGAGTTGTGGCTCTTTTGAAGACGGTGTGCGATATGTATGTATGTACCTATATCAAATAGGACCTTTGCATTGATGATGACGATATGTATGAGTACATACATACATATGTGTACCTATATACATATGTACATGCTTTGTAGTTGAGCCTAAGGATCAAGTAAAACATATAGGGCTACGCTTTGCTAAATCTTGTCGTTTTTTAGAAGGAATATCTTCAGTTTAAGCAGTTAAGTATATATGAAAATTTTCTATATACATACGGATGTACATATGTAGCTAGTGTGAACGAATCATCCATATATGTAGGTGCATATTTGGTGTGCGCATGTATCGTTCATAGGAAAGCCGATTGGCTGATTGCGCCAAATATATTAAAGAAAGCTACTGCTCGTGGGTACACAAAAAACCACATATGTATGTATCTAGTAATATCCCCATATGCGTGTTGCACAGCAGATACACACATGTTCACATATTGGCGTGTGTACCTACATATGTGTACACTTATGTGGTTCCAGTGAATATGTGACGTTAACTTCACTTTGAATAATACCCTCAGCAATTCCCTAATAACGAAGTTAGTGTCCGCTTGCAAAACAGTGTGGTAGCACCGCACTTCCAGGCGTTTGACGAGTTCGCAGTCGAGGGTGTTCGTGTGTCGATGCGTATCTATTCATTGGAATACGTAGATATACATACATATTTCCAATCTAGAACCGCTGAAATTCCTATTCTGAGCCTGAATCTAAAGTACTCAGTACAAAGGTACAAATAATGTAAAATATGCGTCAAAATCAAAATATAATTGTATGCCTTGACAATATTTTTATTTTAGAAAAATGAAAAAAAAACCCGTTGTTCTTACTGAAATCTAAAATTACCATATTGTCTCGTAGTTCCCAAAAAAAGAATTTTTTTGGGAAATATTAAAATTAAACATATAAAATTACTTTTTATCTCCGATAAAATTATTTTTTATTTATATGATTTTAAATCAATCTTTTATCATTAATTGGTTATTTGAGACTTGATAAAACAACTAATAAATTTTTCTTGGTGTTGCTTCCATTTTCCACAAAGCGGCTCGTTCCAATGCTATTTCGTGTATTTACATTTTTTTCGCAAGCCGTTGCTGGTTTTGGCCTCACTACCGCCTACGGAAATTTTGTGGTTAAATAAAAAATCAAAGTAAAAAATTGCAATGTTAATTGCAGAACCTTTAATAACCGTTTGTATAAGCTGGAATTGTTAAAATCCATACATATGTGTCTAGTGACTCGATTATTGTACTAAGTTTAAAGTTTGTGTACTAACTACATATACCAGTAGTTTGAAATTTTTACTTTCATACATACATATATTCTATAATTGGCTATTGACGAAAAATAAAACAAAATTTAAACCATTTTTTGTATGGAAATAAGATTGTGTCGTAAGTGCATTGGAGGTTCCGAGCTAAAATATGCGAAGAGCCCCATAGAAAATCATGTGAAAAATCGATTGGAAAGTTTAGACTGGAAATATGTGTGAAACAACATCGTTCCAATATATGGAATATAACGCTGTGAATTGTTTGCTTGAATCTTTTAGTGCAAAATGTCAAAGTTTGACAATCGCCGCCACTAAATGACATCAGTAAGAAAAACTCCGTAAATATTTGCAACAATTGCAAATACGCAGAAACTAGTAAAGAATAAAAACGGTGAATGGTGGGAATGCAGGTACGGAGGTGAGGACCAAAGGCGAATAAATGTGGAAGAGCGAGGTGAAAATTTATACAGACGTTCCCAGTTCCTGAGAGTGACGTTTTCGAAATAATGGAATCAAATCCCAATGGGATAAAAATAGAGCCTACACTTGAACAGCAGCAGCATTCACAGTACGCTACACATCTACTCGCATTGAATGGACACAATGCACGGCTTCTCATCGAGCACCCTTCAACGTTGCTGGTGCCCTTGTCTCATCAACAGCAACAACAGCAGCACCAACAGCAGCAGCAGCAACAACAACAGCATCAGTTACATCAGCAACATCAACAGCACCACTTTCAACAGCACGACCAGCAATTGCAACAACAGCAACTACAGTTAAGCTCATTACCAGGGTATCCGCAACCGCTTTCTCTAAAGCAACAGCCCGCCTCAACCCCGGTTCCTGCAGGTGTAACCACAACACACGGTCCAACATCAGTTACATCGTCTACTTCCTCACGTACAGCTGCACAACGCTGGAACGAAAGCCCTGAAGCCCGCGCTCGCCGCCTGGCACGCAATGCTGAAAGGATGCGTGAAAGGCGTAACCGTGAAAGTGAAGATGAGTACCGCAAGCGTCTCTCAAGGAACGCTGAAGCGAATCGTCTTCGCCGCCAAAATGAGTCGGATATGGAGAGAGCAATGCGCTTGGTGCGCAACGCAGCTAGGCAGAGACTTCGTAGAGCAATGGAGTCACCAGAACAGCGGGCTAAACGTCTTCAGAAGCTTGCTGAACGTATGCGCCTCTACCGCGCAAATGAGACGCCAGATCAGCGAAAAGTACGTTTGGCAGAAATGGCAGCTCGCGCACGTCAGCGTATTGCAAATGAAACTCCAGAGCAACGGAAGGACAGACTGAGGAAGTTAAACGATTATGCAAAAAAGGTCAGAGAAACTAAGAAAAAATCCAAGCAGGGGCAAAGTGAGAATTCGCAGAATTCGAGCCAATTGCAAAGTACTGCTGCCAGTTCCACTAATGAAAATATCAATTTGAACCAGGCAGCCCCGCAATCAACAGTCGCAACAAACAGCAACCTAGACCAACAACAACCACAGCAATCCAATGACGAACAACTAGCATCTTATCAACCACAGCAGACGACGTTAACCAATCCCATAGAGTACTATCAAAATATGTTCATGAGTCCGGCAACTTTGAGACCCGCTTTACTTAAACAGGAGCAACTGACAGCACAGCAGCAACAACTGACGATGCAGCAAGGACGTTTCACACACCAACAGCAGCAGCAACAAACAATACTAGATTCTGAATCAAATAGCATGTTCCCTCAACAACTGTATGACAACGATCAGAAACCTTCAGGAGCAACTGGTAACGGCACTTCAACAACGTCATCTAAGTTGCCACAAGCGCATGTACCACAATTCAGCACAATAGCCAGCTCCCTTGAATTTTATCAAAACAAGTATATGAAGAAGCAGGACCTTCAGGTAAGTATAAATGATTCTAAATAGGCGCATAAGTACCAAAATGTACACGAATATCTACTTGTCTGCCCCATTGTTCAACTACATAGTATAAACTTAATATTACAATAACTTAACCTTAATCATAATGCCTCTTTTCCAAAATTAAGCGTGTAAAGATTCTAAAAATTAAGATTCGTTCAGTAAAATTGTCTTTTAAATAAATAAAACAAAATTAACTCGTGAGTTTTTTAAAAATCTAAATTAAATGTAAAAATTGTATAAACAATGGGAATGGGCGCAACATAATACATGTACAAATGTATGTATGTATAACATAATCACGTACAGCTACTAAAAAGCACATCTCATAGCGAAAATAAAACGAAAAAGGGGTTTCAATTAAAATATTGGTTGGTATGTGACTTTAAATTCAGAATGGACGCACTCTACAATTGGTTAAGAAGATTAAGGAGGCTGATGTAGTTTCTGAAAAAAAAAATCTGGCCAATTTTATTTGAAGGCGAGTATTGGCAACTTCCTATTTAAACGTGATTACAAACGAATTTTGGTATACGCAAAATGGAGAAAATGAATCCGGTTTTAGTAAAATGATGCTTTCTTTTTGTACTTACAGTGTTGCCAGAAATTTCTTGGGGGTGATATATTAGAAATATTTATCGGTGGATTATCACATTTATCAAGGTGTTCAAATGATTGTAAATGTGGGCATCAGTAAAAAAAATAAAATTACGAATTTGTACGTTTCTGTTAAATTAAGCCTAAACAATTATTTACTTATATGTTTTCAATATTAGTGCCGCTGACAGTTATAGAAAGCGTTAAATTCTTGCAGAACTTTTGTCGAATAATAGGCACCGTACATGGTCAAATTGTTTGATCAAACTGTGTGTTTGTGTTACTGAAATTTTGTATGTATGTGTCACATGTATGAGTTTGATGGCTGTTTGACAAAAATCAAAGTGGTTCTGATTTTCATCAAATTTGACGTCGTTTGACGCGTGCTGTGGACCGTGTAAAGTGATGTTTTATCAAATTAAGAAATCAAGCGAACGAACAATTGCACAACAAAAAAGAATACGACTTCATTTTAGAATTAATAAATTATTACAAAAATCTCCAAACCTTTTTTGTGGTGTTAAGCCATCAAATTACACGGGCATGCAAGCGCACAAGAATTTACATGAAAAACAAAAAAAAATATCAAAGGAAAAGATGAATACGAGTTCATTTTAGTATTAATAGATGACTACAAAAACTTCTCAAACTTTTATTCAACTTCAACTAAAACGAAAAACTTAAATTTGTTCAGTTGTTTGACGCGTGTAGGTCACACCATCAAATCACAGACACGCAGTTTGATCAAACAATTTTACCATATAAGGAAAGTACATAACGGGTCGTATTAATAAAAAATTACTGATCCAAATTTGAGTATTAGCTCAGTTTCATATGATAGCAAGCTTATTTAAGCATGCATTTGATATGTCGAAAGCTAGCATTTGCTCAGATTCGTATGAGAATTCTGAGGAAAATTTTTTCTAGCAGTTGCTTGTTTTTATTAATACGCCCTAATGTCGTATAATATGTATATGCATGGTACACTAAATAAAGCTGCAAGTCTATTATTATTTGGGCTGTGCCTACTCTCATGCTGCAGATAAATTATAAGATTATAACAAGAGTTTACACTAAGCATTTTTTATTTTACAATATTCAATAATCGTCTAAACATGTTCATTACACCCCTCATCTATACCTTCTACTAACAGGTCTATTCTGCACGTTACCGAAGATTTTGTAACCGGAAAATTGTATTACCAAAAAATGTTACCAGTTCTTGTTACCGCGATTCTAGGTACCTTGGTAATGCAGTTAAAATATTCAGCAATTCAGCTATGAAGAATTGTGCAAATCCTGGCATTGCATATTTCACGGGGCAATAATTTGTTACCAGCTTATGAGATGGTAACCAAATTTACCGGTTACAAATATACCGGTTTCAACAAAGTTGGTCGCCAGCCAACATTTAGCCATTCAACTTTTTTTTCGGCAGCCCTGCGCTGGGTTGAACGCAAAGTTGAACAATGCAAACACACTGGCTGCATTTCTTTATTCATTCTGAACGTTTGGAATAAACTTTTTTGNATATACCGGTTTCAACAAAGTTGGTCGCCAGCCAACATTTAGCCATTCAACTTTTTTTTCGGCAGCCCTGCGCTGGGTTGAACGCAAAGTTGAACAATGCAAACACACTGGCTGCATTTCTTTATTCATTCTGAACGTTTGGAATAAACTTTTTTGTTTACTTGTTCTTTAGAACGTTCCTGATGATATGTTAACGTATATTTCAAACGCATTCTGTTTATTCCGGCTGTGAAATGGGATTATCCGGAATGTATAAAGAAACGCAGCCGCTTTTAACACAGCTTTTTCAGAATATGTAGAAGGTGTAGATGTAGGGATGAAAATAGCCATTCGCACAAATCTGAACCTCCTCACTCGCTTGTTATGACAATGCGAATCGGATTAGATCCGTACGGATGGCATCCGTCGTATGCCGTAATAGGCATAATTACTTATATGTTATACTTTGCCAAAATACATTTAAAACAGTAAAAAGTTATATCTATTGCAAAATTTGAAAAAGTTGAAGCGTATCTACCTAAAAAATTGTAAAGCTCAATGGTACGATGCCTAACTATTTGATAAAGGAAGATCGCAAAATTTTATAACCACATGTTTGATATTCAGCCCTATCGCCAATTCAATGTGAACAAATCGTTCCCACAATTTTAAATGCAAAACTAAAACAAATTGGGAACAAAATTTCTTGTTTTGTTTTACAATTTTTGGGAATATTTGTTCACATGAATTTTGCGATAGGGCCGATTAAGTAACACAAATCTCAGTTTTATAGAAGATCAAGACCATGTTTTCCGCTAGTAATGAATATGAATCATATCTATCTGTATATATCACACAACCCTATTTTTCTCTTTGATTGTTTGTGAAAATGTCATTTGTATCATTATTTTGATTTGATTTTGATTTGTATTTGTTTTAAAGTCTTTTAGATTGAGTTTTTTTTGTTCCAAAACAAAGACTGTTGATTTTCCAATTCCTTCGAATAAATTTTATTCAATACATTTTTGACAACCATATAAGTAGTTTGCTATTTTTTTTACATCAATAGTTTGCTGGTGCTTAAAACGAAATGTGATGGAATTTTAAGAAATTAAAAAATGAATGCTTTGGTAACACCCGAAATCATTATTTTGACCCTATTTGTATTTAGACATATGGCAACGCTGGACACTTCCAGTACTAGATACATACGTGTTGTGTAAATAAACCCCTTTCATCTGGTAGTCGGTTTTTAATGGGCTTCCATTTGTAAATTTTTTTAGTCGTCAAAGTCGTAGAATTATTAAAATTTTTGTTGTGCACTTCGGGCGGTATGTGGCAGGCAAATACATATTCAACATTTACTAAGGATGTGGGAATTCTATAATGATTTTCATTTGCAGACGAATTCAACAAATAACAGCGGGTCTGTTGCTGGAAGCAATTTGCAGAACGATTCCAAGGTGATCGTAGCATCAACGTCCAACAGTGAGAATCCGAAAATAAAAAGTTCACATTCTCAAATTCAGAACCCTCCTACTCCGCTATATAATCAATTTCTTTATTTAGCTAATTTTTCAGCAACCGCATCAAACACTGGATCAACCGTTGTGACTTCACCATCTAGCACTCCCACCCAAGCCACCTACTATCCTATGTACCACAATGGATTTCAACTAAGTATTCCACCGAATACAGTGCCACCACCATTTACACCTGTGCATTTTACCAGTACGACCAACTCTGGCACATCCCCTTCGTCGGGACAAGTTACACAGTCTGCAGTTGGCGGAGCTTATAATTTGCTTGCGAACACATCAATAACTGCTGCTGCAGCTGTAGCAGCTGTCGCTTCATCCGCTACACAACAACAAGTTATACAGGATTTTCCAAAACCGGTCCGCGGTCGCCCTAGAAAGATCATCTTTTCAAACACAGGCACAGCCAACAATGCCACTACCATGAGCAACACGGGAGACTCAAAAAACGGCATTTATCTGCTGCCTACAGGGTCCACTGAATCAACGGAGGACGCTCTACGACAACAAAAGGTGAGCGCCTTGCTTGAGCAAGAAATTAATCAAATGCTCGCTTCACCACAGCAGACTCAGCGCCGCGGACGTGGTCAACAACATTCCTCGCCCACAGGCTCGACCCGAAGCACCGGGCATAAATATGAAACTGACGAAGACAAGCGTAGACGATTGGATAAAATGGCAGCACACCAAAGGGAGGTAAGGGCGAATGAGACTCCCGAGCAGCGAGCAGTCCGCTTAGCTAAGTTATGCGAAAGGGCTCGTCTGAAACGTGCGGAAATAAGATCTACAGAATCGCCAGAAGAGCGGAAAACACGTTTATCCAAGCAAGCCGAGTACGCACGAATGCGTCGTCTACGAACTCATTCTCGCCGCCGCACTGAAGATAGAGCTCGCGAACTTTACGAGGAACTTAAGAAGGATGTTGATATATCTAGCGATGGTAATGAATCCACTGCTAACAGTAAACTGCAGGTACAAGAACAACAGCAGGAAATACTTCAACAGCAACAACAGCAACAACAACAACAACAACAACAGCAACAACAACCGCAGCAGCACCAGCAGCAGATGTTGCANACAACAACAACAGCAGCAACAACAACAGCAACAACAACCGCAGCAGCACCAGCAGCAGATGTTGCATGCTAATGAATCCTCGAATTTGGTGACAGCACAACTTCAACAGCAGCAGCAGCAACAGCGTTTTTTAGCTTTAGCCAGTTCGCAAGGACCTCAGCAGCCAGATCAACAGCAGAACCAACAACAACAAATGTCAGCCTCTAACAACCCCTCTTACGGCAAACCGCCGTGCAAGGAATATAGTACACAGCCTGAAAATAACGATATGCTTAAGATCCTCGAGCCTATCATCGTAATGAAAACAAAATAAAGCTATCTTTTAATACAAAATTAGCGAGTACACAATAAAACATAAAATACACAAAAATCTATTAAATAAATCACAGTTTATGATAAATACACCTCCGCATAAACACGTTGACGAAGTCCACGGTTAAAAGTTCATATGCCAACACGTGGTAACTTGAATTATAATAAATCAGTGAAATCACCACAAAATGCTAGCAAACAGTAATTAACATAAAATTCTTTATAGAAATTTGAGGAAAACCGTAGCAGTAGCAATTGGAATGATAACAAATTTGATTAACTATGCCTATGAAGGGTAATTGCATACATAAATATATACACAAATACATCATATATGTAAGTATGTTTGCAGTATACCATATACTACGTGCATACATAAATATGTATGGTAAATTTATATACACTAGTAACACTCAATGTATGTAGAGCTCGCGTAAACATAATATTACTATGTAATAAGTATAATAATGATCATGGTAAAGTAAAGAATAAAGTCAATAATTTTTTTAAAGTAGATTAAAATTAATGTATTTATTTACATGAGTGCGGCTGTTTTTTATCTTTCATGTGGCGGATAATTTCACGTGAGGACGCAAATTTCGATGGCAAATACCCCGCCATTACCTTAAATTCAAATTTACGCAATTTTGTTGTAACCAGGGCCCGAATAGCGGCATATGTGATCGGGGTACTACTCGTTTCGAATCGAATGAAACAAAATGGTAGCTGTTTTCTCCACAATACAATTTAAACGGACGAAGCATTCTCGCTATCGAATGTCGTGATCTCAAAACCAAATTTCGATTNAAATAGCGCATTTGTGATCGGGGTACTACTCGTTTCGAATCGAATGAAACAAAATGGTAGCTGTTTTCTCCACAATACAATTTAAACGGGCGAAGCATTCTCGCTATCGAATGTCGTGATCTCAAAACCAAATTTCGATTAGAGTTGCGTTCGATATCGAATGACGCGATTCGGGCCCTGGGACCGCAAATAACGATTATTTTTGAAATGTCAACTCAAAAAATCACATCGAAAGACAAATGCTACGTGCATAAGGAGTAAACCAATATATTTCTTATTACTCTGAATACCTTCAGCGGCACTGAGTTTTACATTACAACGCTTTTCCCAACTTGCAACGTTGTGTGTCCAGACCACCATTTATACTATAAATATAGCAAAGCTATTTATGGCAAATTCTAGATAACAACCTCGTTGTAGGCATCATATCAAAGAGATACAATTAGAAGACTGTAGATGTCGCCCCGCCAGAAGACGTTAAATATTGCGCCTAAATATATGCACTATTTACATACGCTACAACGGAAATGAACGACACGCCATTTCTTTAAATGAAATGAACTGCTGCTATATGTATGTATGTACATATGGCCCAAAACGCGGACTGTTACATTACATTTTGGTTCACATTGATTTTCAAATACCACTGAAACTCGCTATAATACAAATTTCGGATAGTTTTTCTTTTTGAGTCTGAAAGCATAAGTATGTGGCTATATTTAACATATACGCAAAATATATTGTAACTCCTCTTGTTTAGGAGTTATGAATGTTTCAACAGCGGGCTGTTACATTACAATTTTTGGAAGTACTTTTTAAAGCTGCTTTATATTATCGAAAAAGTCTGGTCTCCTAATATAATATTTTCAAAAGTTGGTACGCAGTTTCCTAGCTTAAGGATGGAACTCAAGGGCTACGTATTAATTGAACTGATAAAATTCATTTCGAGGTCAATATTTGCAAAAAATAGTCGTACTGTTACCTTACAGAAAGAGACTGTTACGTTACCTGTGTGATAAATGTCTAGCGATAAGATTATAATTAGGTTTTTAAATAGCGCTTAGTGTGTTTTATGCAATAAGTAGCATGAATTTAGCAGATTTGCTATTTGACATGTAATCCAAAGAAGCTAACAACATGATAAATAATTATGAATACAGATCTGAAAGTTGATGTTGTGCAGCTGTCGGTCGTTTCAGAAGTAATTTTCAACGAAGAACTCGAGCTCGAGCTTATAATTGCGCCAAGATGTTGAGGTTTTTCGAGGTTAATAGCAATTTTTGCTTGTTCTAAGCCATTTAGTACTATTCTTACCTTTCAAAATGGGCATTTGTGTGGTGCTTAAAGATTTTTCCTTGAGAAGCTATGACCATTAAAAATGACGTAATGAGTTAGAAAGCATTTGCTTGGTTTGGCGGTGTTTTTATGTATTTATTTATTTATTATTTTATGGCCATAACTATTGAAGGAAAAATCATATAGCACCATTCGAGAGTGGATTTTGAAGGACAACATTAGTACTAGAAAAATAGGCGAAATAGTTCCAGTAGATTTTTTTTTATTTAATCGGAAAATTTTGTTCTTATTATTTTAGCTTCTTATTTCACTCCTTTTGGGATTGTTCCTTTTTGAAATAACCCAATCCTCTCGTTACTTTATTTTTCTACGTAATACTTACTTATATTTTCTGAGCCTATGTAAGTAAAAAAGAATAAATATTTTAATTATAGGACAATAACACGTCGGCCGCTGCGGTGTAGTGGTAAACAGTGCGCGCTTCCACTTCACAGCACCTGGGTTCAAGCCCTGGTCAAAGCAACATCGCAAAAAAAAATATATGTATAGAAAAAAGGTTTTTTCTTAACAGCGGTCGTCCCTCGGCCTCTCATAAAAATACAATCGCCGTTCGGAGTCGGCGTAAAACTGTAGGTCCCTCCGCTTTGTGTGACAACATCAAGGCGCACGCCACAAATTGGAGGAGAAGCTCGGCCAAACACTAACATATGTGTAAGCGCCAATCTATTATTATTATTAACACGTCGAATAGCTTTAAATAATGCTTGCAAAACGAGCCCTCTCTAATAAACAAAATTTTACCTAAAAATTCAATTAGTAAAAAAGACTTACGTTACAAATAGTTTTCCACCTAAAACACATGGATAAAGAAGAATACGAGGAACTATCTTATTTCATTGTGAAAGAAGGCCGAAAATACTCGAAGAAAACTAGACTCCCCTTTTTTTAACCTGTTGAATTCCGCACCAAAAAACTGTTTGATATTTTGAACTGTTAGATTACATTAAAAAATACTGCCGACTTTATTTTCATATAGAAGCTAATAACTGATTTTTTTGTCAAATTCTTTTTATATTAACTCAAAAATAATACAAGGCAAGCGAAGAGAAGCAAGTTTAGTTCAACCAAATGGCGATCCTTAAATATAAACTACCACTTAGTTTCAAGTTGTGATTTTTTAATTTTCGTTAATTTAAAGGTGTCTCGGGATTAAGCGAATTTTCATGATTGAGAGAAGGAGAGTTGTGTGAATATATATGTTGTCCGACACCTTAGAATATATATGACCCAGACATAATCCAAAATCTCCGAAACCTAAAAAAAAAAATACTTCACCTTGGTTTCGTTTTCGGCGATTTGGGCCATATGTATGTTTATACTAAACGTGAGCAAACAACATTTTGCTTGCATAGTCTTCTGTTCCCTTTTCACTGCAAGTTGAATTATTTTAATATCTATTGCAAAATTTTATACAGACAAGACTAAAAAGTAGAAAATAAATAAAATAAAAAAACTTTTTATTATACAACGCTTTTATAAATGGACTAAAAATGAGAAAAAATGGACTAAAAAGTAGAAAATAAATAAATAAAAAAACTTTTTATTATACAACGCTTTTATAAATGGACTAAAAATTAGAAAATAATCCTTCCGACAAATCCCCAGCCATGTTGTTGCGGAAATAAGACAAGTTGTGACCATCCATTGGAAACGAGCTATCCATCAACCGTAAATAAAGATTCCTGTTTGGACCGACAAACCAAGGTCAAGCAAAACACTGGGGTCAGGTGGTTCGTAAAGTACGGGAGAAGCAGGGCCTCGAGTGTCTTCGCTACCGGGGAAAGGAGAGTTATCGGGCGATAAGACTCTCCTGTGTTGGCTGGTTTCCCCGGTTTGAGCAGTGGGACCACTCTCCCCATTTTCCAGATGTCTGGAATGACGAGAGTGGCCATAGACAGGTTGAGAACCTCCTCCTGCCGGCTAAAATAGCTCGCGCATCTCTCCGGGTCCGACGAAGCGTGGTCACCAAAGTCTATCTCGACTCTGTCGTCGCGTTTCGTCGGGTTGGACAACGACCTCACGGTTGACCAAAGCTTGCTCACACCAGAGGCGAAGTTGCAGGTCTTCAGATGCTCTTCCCATTTCTTCCGCTTATGTACGTTCACAAGTTGCCGAATCTCCGTATTGAGATCCCTAATACGGGGATTTCCGGGATCGGCCNTGTGCTGCCCAGGCGGGTGGTGGTTTGCCGTGGAGGCAGTCCGGTTCGCACAGCATGGGGCCACGAACGACGTGGTTCATTGCCGGTGCGTACCCACCCGTCACAGGCATTGCACCTGACCCCACCCGTCACAGGCATTGCACCTGACCGAGGTGGAGTTTGTATGCAGTCGTCTCTGGCATACGCAGCAGGTGCAGATTTCTGGCCCTGGGTTTGACTCTATGTCAGCCCTGAGCAGAAGGGTGCGGAGAACGTGTAGCCCTAGGATCGACCAACGTTTGATGGATTTAGCCGACCTAAACGGGGTTAGATCGCCGAAACAACAGCCCTTGGTCGGGTAAAACCCAAGTCTTTCCGGTACGTAGAACCGGCTGTCGTGGGAACGTAGTTTAAATGCTCTAGCTGTCTGGTTTAAGCTAAGATTAGCCAATAAAATGTAAGCCAGCTGTTACACATGAACGCAGTTTACGTAATCTCAAGTTCAAACTAGTACTGAAAAACTTGTCCAGTTTTTGATTAGCCTTATGCGGTGTTTATTTATTTTCGAACATTGGTTTTTCGTAGAGTGCACATTTACGAGAGCTACAAATCTTATGTTTTTGATAAATAGTTGCGTTTTAGACGTTTATTCAGCTATGTTTGCACGAAGAAGAAGGAAACTTAACAAAAAAGCTACTAAAAAGGATATCACAATTTAAACAAAAAATGCGAT